TGGGGTGAGAATATGTACAGAGGAAGAAGGAGAGATAGACTTAGGAGCTCAGTGCACCTTGGAAAATCTCCCAGCAGTAAAACTGCAGCAGAACTGAAGGATGGTCGATGCTCACTTGAGCTAAGCATTATGTGATTAATCACAGTGGAAAATATTGAGTCTGCCCCAGATTTAAACTTGGTAAAGTAGGAGCTTGTAACACTGGACAGGAACCTGTTGAGTGAAGGCTTTACTTCCCTTTACTTTCAGAAACTCTGGGAAACCACAAGTTGTCATGATGTCTGAAGCACCAGATTCTTACAGGGTAATAGTGTGCAGTGACCCCTTATAACCTTGATGGTGCCAAACTAAAGTGTATGGGTATTATATACCTCTGTTCGAAGTTTTTTAAAGTGAAAATGTAATCTCTGAGAAAGTCGTATCTTTTTGAAAGATTCCTCCCAAATGTTTATATAGATTTGCATAGGGCCAAGGCAAAGCCTTCTTCAAAACTTTATCTGCAGAGATATACATATCTATATATTTATATTTTATAAATATATGAATATTTGTTTGCATGATATTGAACTAATGGCTCTTGGTCTGTTAATGTTATATAAAGACAGAGTATTGAAGCCTGACAAGTTAACCTGCTGAGACTTTGAGGAAGGGTAAAATACTGCATGTGTTAGGTGAATATTGATTAGAGTCATTGAGTAATTAGGGCCACAGGGCAAACTCACCAAATCACTATTGTTATACTGTGGATTTTTTCATATCCCTCCAGGAGAAATTGTTACTCGTCCTAGAGCTAGATGAGTTGTAGGACGAATTATACATCAAAATGTACGATTGATTGGGATTTGTGTGCATTTAATTTTTTCTATTGTATATGAATTTTTCATGATGTAAGTCACAAAAACTGCAGAAAATATTGTATTAGTGTCAACAAGACGAGCTAAAAAATAGAGCAATTATGGAGTTTTTCAAACATCTACCTCTACCCCCCTTTTTTTCTGTTGTATAAATAAATACTTGAAAAAAGAGTTTTTGTTGTAGGCATGATTCTTGTACATAATATCACAATGCTACCAGTATTATTAATTATTTGAAATCTCTGAAGAATTTGATCATAATTTACACACCTCAGCAGTACCCTATGTGGCCCATCCAAAATTTCCCAGGGGGAATTTTCTAGTTGTGTTGCCATTCTGTTTTATCTATAAAACATCTCATACAGGAGCCTGTTGCTGATATTGATGAATATGGGGAATTTCTGCAGCCATGATTGATTTCTCTTACTTTCCCCAACACTGTCATGATTACCAAGGCTGGAAGATGGTATGTTTTTTCCAACTCCTGAATCCTTGCCTTTAGCAGACGAGGATTCTTTAGAGAGCATTAAGAGCAGCACTCTCACAGACCCACACATGCCTGCTCTCTCTCTCTCTCTCTCTCTCTCTCACACACACACACACACACACACACACACACACACACACACACACACACACACACACACACACACACACACACATACAGTCAAAGGAGGTGGCCTTGCTCTGGTGGGCCCAGTGGAAGCACGGCTCACTTCCTCATCCATATTAATGCCAAGTGTTGTCATCTGTGGCACTGGAACCTGCTGTAGTTTGGTTGAAGTGGAAAGTGCTTATATTTGTAATCTCAACCCTTTCCCCAGTATTGATATTTCTCTCTGCCTCTTACATCCTGTTGGCTGATTGGAGTAAGAACTCTACTACCAAGGGAAGCTATTGTAATAGTCTCCCTCTGTACAAAATAATGCACCACTGATGCCTCGTGTGTTTTTTCTTCTTCAGGTGGTGTCCCAAAACCTCCTGGGGATTTACTAAGTGATCTTTGTGATAGTGGGCACAAAATCCACATTTGAGCATCTGTACTTCTGATTTTGAGCATCTCAGATTTGGTCCCAATCCAGGTCATCGTCTTCATCATCCTCACACAGTTTTAACTTCTTTCTGCTTTGTTCCAGACTGGAATTCAGGGAGAAAAGATTGGTTGGAATTACGGGGGATGTTTCCTTAAGTTGCTGGTCTCAGACTTCTTCCCAGTCTGATTATTCCTCGCTGTCACAATGTTTAGTTTTTTTGCACATTTCTTATGTACATCCACTTTTTGGGGGTCTGGACAAGTGGGGGATGTTTCCATAGGTTGCTGGTCCAAGACTTCTTCCCAATCTGAATGTTCTTCGCTGTCACAATGTTTAGTTTTTTCAGTGCATTTTTTGTTCTTCCATGTCTTGGGGGTTTGGGGTCATGATTGGTTGAGATTCAGTCCATGTTTGGTCATCGCTCGTGTCCATTTGAGTTTGCATAGCCCAGGGGTCGGCAACCCGCGGCTCTGGAGCCGCATGCGGCTCTTTCTTCCCTAAGCTGCGGCTCCCAATGGATTTGGAAAATAAATAATAAATACTTAATTGCATTTTATTTTATTTTATTATTATTATGATTTTTTGTAATTCTAAATTCAAAGATTATAATGCTCTTGTAACATTAAATAAACTATTAAGGCTGCAACAACGAATCGATTAAGTAGATTCGTCGTGACGAAAAAATCCGTTGCCAACAAATTCTGTAATCGATTCGTCGGGTCTTTATATATGTCCATGGACACCGGCGTGTAAACAATCAGCAGGACGCACAGAAAAGAAACAGCCATGGCCGAGGCAGCGGCTGAGAAAAACATGGACACAACCCAACCCAAATCCCGACCTAAAACATCAGTGGTGTGGGAAAACTTCACCAAGACTTAAAAGGAAGGCGTTCAGTGCAACATTTGCAAAGACCGTTTTGCATGGCTCGGGAGTACATCGATGATGCGTGAGCACAGGGCTCTCAAGTCTCACGCATTCAGCGTATGACACACGCATTCCCACTCGTTCACACGCTCACACACCACACATTGTATTTCTCACGCATTTAAATGAACACGGTGATGTCCACCAAGTTGCACTTCTTCAACTATGGAACTGGGGGAAATCAACTGAGTTCCTCCGAGAGTTCAGAAGCTGCATGCCACGCACAAGCCAATCAAATAAAGTATATCTACTGAACAGCCAATCAAAAAGCAGCATTGCTGTATCCGGGTAGATTTTGATATCTTGCGGTTTAACTACAGAAGAAGACAGACACTCGCCGAAATAGTTCATTTATTTCATAAATGCAACTTGCTACAGTTTTTTATATACTTTGTATAAAGGTAAAAAAAAAAAGATATATGCAATGTTATCTTCATTTTAGATGTCAAAGAGGTTTTGCGGCTCCCTGTGTTTTCTTTTCTGTGGGAAACTGGTCCAAGTGGCTCTTTGAGTGTTTAAGGTTGCCGACCCCTGGCATAGCCTGTAGTGTTGATAGGTAATCTAGGATTAAGGTTGTAATCTCCTTCCTAATCAACTCCATGGTCTGTTCACCAAGGAACTGAAGGTCCCTCTTAGCCCAACGGAAGGCTTCTTCTAGGGCTCATTGCCAGTTGTCTATGAGCTGTTTTGGGATTTCTTTTGAGGCTTACTCGATGGTAGATTTATAATAATCTTCTAATATTTTGGATGCTTGTATAGGCACAATTTTTGGTGTTGTAATGGCTTAGTTGTTTGGTTGATTCTGTCTGAAAAGCAGGTAGTATGCTCCTTGACAGCTCTTCCTGTGTATCTCAGAAATGTGGCATTTTGCAGTTGGGACTGCTGTTTGCGTTTTGTAGGTGGTAGAAGCCCTTGATGTATTTGTAGAAGGCTCTAGTTAAGAGCTGTAACTCGGTTTTTGGTTCCAAAGGCATCATGGTACCAAACTGAAGAAAGAAGAGCAAAAGGGAAAAGGAATTTAACTATTAATAATTACTTTTTATTTATTCTATTCCTCTCAAATTATTTTTTGTACTTTTGTTTTTTAGACTTAAGGATCCCGAGACAATCCTGCAACACAAGATTTTTCCATTGAATATTATCATTAAGATTACTCCAGATCAGTTGTGGCCCCACAAAATTTCACACTGTCTATTGTCCCGGACAGTATGTGATGATTTTTCTATCACCTCTTCATTGTGCCTTCAAATGTCAACTCTGCAACCCTCATCTAATTGTTCCACAATGCTAACTCAGACTAAAAAACATGCCGCTATCAAGATGGCTACGGCTACTTTCACGCTGTTAGTGTTTGTCAGAGAGATGTTTCAGGTCTCTGACCCCCGTTGTTGTCCACAGAACTTCAGTGCCAACACTTTGAAAAAGCAAGCCCTGAAAGTAATAAAGAGCATTGCTAACGTCACATCCAGCTAGCCAACTGTGTTATGCCAAACACAAGCAGTAACAAGCATGCTGAAAAGTGCTGGACACACAGTCAAAATAATGGTATCTACTTGCTTGTCATGGAGTGGGGCTTAGGTATGAAACGAAATATCAAAATTTGAACTATTGCTTTAAGGAAAAACATTTTTGGACAATAGGCTTTTTTTAAAAAAAAATAACTTTGTCTTAATTTTAATTTCTTTTCATTATGGCAACTTGTTAAAGTTATTCACAATAACAGAATGGATAAATGTTTTAAAAAATTTGACATCAACTTACTGGTGGAAAAACTTCTTCCCTCTGCCAGCAGGTGGATTTTTGAATTTCTCAGAACTCGAGCATCATGGACACTTCCCAGCCATCCAACACTGATGTTCATAAAACTGGTAGAAGAAAATATAATCATAGTTTACACAGAATAAAGAATATAATTTGGCTATCTACAGCTCTACAACATTGTTGTGGATGCAAATAGATAAAATGTGTGAATCAGAAAAGTACAATATTTAATGCATATTCTAATATATATGTTTGTGTGGTGTATGTATGTGTTTGTGGTTTGCATTTGTGTACATATATATATATATATATACATATATACTGGTGATCCACAACACCCTGAAGAATGACAGAATGCCACCCTTTGCGGTTAAAGTAGTTTACATGGTTATCTTCTGGTGCAATGATGGGGATATGACTCCCATCAATTGCCCCTCCGCACATAGGAAAAACCCCACTTCTGTCGAAAGCCCATGATCACTTCGTGCAGGTCATCTCCCTTGGGCATCTTGATATATTCTGGTAGGAGTACCTGACGTACTTCACAGCAGAACTCATGTAGTATTATGCAGACTGTTGACTTGGCAATACCAAAAAGGTTTGCGACAGTAAGTAAACAAGTACCAGTTGCCAGCCAATACAGCCCAGTTCCAACATGCTTGTTTACAGGAACAGGGTGGCGGAAATTTGTATTTTGCCTTACGAGAGTTGGAGAAAGTTGTTCACAGATGTAAGCAAAAATTCTTTTTGTCATCCAAAAATTGTGTAAAAATTCAATGTCAGTGAAGCGGCTCATGTCAATGTCCCACCACTCCTGGCTCTGACTCCTCACCCAAACGCTCCTCTGAACGAATGTTGCAGAAAGTACCCCACAAACCGTCAAAGCCAATATTCTTGCCCTCTTCCTCATCAATCTCCTACATGAAATATCTTGGTTAAGAAAATGTTGGCTCTAGCTGCCCAAAATCCCTAATATTGCCGCAAATTAGTCTGGACTGAGACCTACACGAGGGGCCATATTTACTTCCGCAAACACACCGCATCAAGTCCTGCTTTGTGCACATGCAGGTCACTTCACGGACGCATTCTGTTCACATTTGATGCCGCATTCGTTGTTGTAATGTGAGCGACCGCACAAAAAGTTTTAACAAAAAATCTGAATTGTGCATCATAACCTGCAGTGTGAACATAACCTCGAACGATCTTCTCTGTGTGGATTGATGTGCATTGGAAGCGTAGCACAGCAAAAATGAAGCATAGCGTTAGTTCTGGCTGGTCACAACGTCAAGCACTGATCCGCAGCCAGTGGCAAGTAACTACCTCAACCAGCTGATGGCCCAGCTATTTCCTCCTAGCTCCTATTGGTCCTATGCTTTTAGAGCACCTTTTTTAAAACTGCCCTCACCCAGCCTTTTCCTCTGCTTCAACAGCCAACCATCAATGCTGCAACCGCTCTGCAAGCTTTCACTCATGAGAACAGTCAGATCTGAGTTTTTGCTTTTTCCTACCTTGCTTTTCATTATGTTGATCCCTACCCACGACGAGGATCCTTGGCAGATTGACTGCTTTTGTGACACACAACATAAGCAATGCGAAGTCAAGAAAGCCAGTCCTTGCAATGACAGCTGTGTTCCCTTCCGCAAGTAAAACTTCTATTTCTCCCAGCTTCATGAATGGCAGGTGTCCAGGCTCCTGGAAGTCCTTTAACATAACATCACAGCTCCAGATGGTGCCTCACATCAACAGCTTTTCACCTTGTATATGGAAAACCCCAGCTACCAGATCTGCGGACCTGGGGCCTCATGTATCAACACTTGCGTGGAACTCATACCAGAAACGAGCGCACGCAAGGTCCGTAACGCTGAAAAAAATTCGTATGTATCAATGTGTGCGGGCGCCGAAATCCACGTGTGTTTCCTTGATAAATCCCAATCAGCGTGGAATTGAGCGCAGATGTCAGAGTGACTGGGCCGGTCCCCGTTACGCCCTCCTATAAATATGCAGATTTATTTAAATAGGGTCTCCCTGTCCTCGCACGCAGACAAAATGACAAGAAAAACTAAATTTACGGCGTGCGAGGTGGAGGTGCTGGTGGCGGAGGTGGAGGAGCGACAGCGTGTTTTGTTTGGCAGCCTGTCCAGTGGCGTCAGTGCAAAACAAAAACGCTTGGAGTGGGAGAAAGTTTGCGAGAGGGTGAATGCGGTGGGTTCCGAGACACGCACCCCCGCGAAGATTAAAAAAAAGTGGTCGGACCTCAAGGTGGAGGTCAAGCGGCGTACAGCTGCCCTCCAGAGGAGTACCGGCCAGACAGGTGGGGGTCCGGGGGAGGAGACCCTCACGCCGTTTGAGCAGCGGGTGGTGGTGATTATTATTATAGGGTAAGTGGCGTGTCACACAAATGTCCACATGCTTTGTCATCCCACTGAGCAAAAGACGTATATTAGACGTCTAGTCTAAGTTTATATTTCATTTCAACGTCGGGATTCAGTCTATTTTTAGACGTGATTTATACTTCGCCCTTAACTTCATTTTTCGATAACTTTTTATGCAATAAACAACTGTAATGTGCATAACTGACCTCGAAATACTGGATTACATTACCTATTATACCGTGGAGAGAGATGTAAACGCAACAGATACACAGAAGCAGGAATTGAAATGAACCAATATTTTTATTGTGTCACAGAAATCAATGTGTCGGCCGTGTCGCCGGCTTGCGGAACCCCGGCCCGCGGCAGCCCGTCTGCCGGCTCGGAGTCGTCGGCCAGGAACAGCGGCATTCGGGCCACCCCGGCCCCCGGCCCCAGCACCAGCACCAGCATCAGCACCAGCGCGCCGACAAGCGGTGGAGCGTCCACCAGCCGCGGCGTTTCCGCTGGACCACCCGGACGCAGTGGAAGGGTCCTCGCGGAGGGGGTCCTGCAATCGCAGGAAGAAATCATCAGGGGGATCACGGGGATCAACGAGCGGCTTGACCGGCTCGTAAATGTCCTCGAGCGTCTGGAGGAGAAAATAAATTAATTTGGCTCATTGAACAACTGTGTATTCACTTCTTACCCATTCACACTGTGGCGATGAGATTCTCCCGCGCGAGGACGGTGGCCCGGCAGGGATCAGCTCGCATCCCTCCGTCTGCTGCTGGTTCGTCATGTGGGGCGACGTGCTGCTCGGCCACGGGGATGTGGTGCACGCTTGTCACATAGTGAGTCACCATACACCGCCACACAGCGTCGCCAAAGTGCGAATCACAGTCAACGCAAGTTTTCGGCTCAACGCCAATTTCTACACCACCTCCTGACTTTGCGTTGATTAGCGCTGGAACCGACGCTCGTTTCGCGATGATAAATCTGGACGTGTGCGCCGATTTTGGCGTACGCAAGGTTTTCTTGCGCCGCAAGCGTTGATACAATCCCATCCTGAACACAATAGCCAGCATCCAGTCATTGCCTACCCATATGTCTTCAAGGATAGAAGCCTTAGACTCTGGTGGCAGGTGCTAGGCTGTCTTCTTCTATCCCAGCTGTTACATTTGATCCTTCAATGCGCCGACGACAGTGTCACCATCCTGCGAAGCACCCTAGGAAGTGAAGTCCCTGTTTTCACCGGCATCCCAGTCTTTCCTCCCGCGGCTGCAATAACACCAAAACTGCGGAGCTAAATCCTCACAGTCCCTGCAAGGACAGGCATCCAAAATCAGAATGCCCGAGATGCATCCGCCTTGTGAAAAAGGAAAGAGAAAACAGCTGTCAAATGTCCCTGAGCTGGGAAAGGCACTGGCAAAGCATCCCAACCACTGTTTGTATATGATTTGATAACAGGACTGGTTCAGGGGTTCCTTGCAGGTTTGGTCTGGCTGCCAAAAGTGTCTTTATGTCTAAAAAGTTTAACAAATTGCGATGAAAGATCCTGAAATAGTTGCTGGAGAAAAGGTTAAGAAAGGATTCATGATTGCCCCCTATGTAAGTCACCCTTTCCAATCGCCAGCATTGATCCTTTAGGCATAGCTGCACATAAATACATACATAAACACATAAATAAGTAGAGAAGTAATGAGCCATACTCGAGAGGCAGTACATCTACTAAAAAGAGAATTTCTCTCTTTGCTTGGGCACATTAATTTGCCATAAGTGTCATGCCTTGGGGCGGTCTTTTATATCTAGACTTCTCGACCTTGCTAAATCAGTCAAGAAACTCCATGATAAGGTAAGTTTGGATTAAGGTTGCAGATCCAAACTGCAGTTTGGTCACTTCTGTGTAAAAAATGGAATGGCATCTCATTCTTTTACAGTGACTATCAGGAATCTCCTCCTGCAATTAAATTATTTACAGTGGCAGCACCATCTGTTGGTTTTGGGGGTCAATGGTCCTCATCAGCCTAAATGATACCTCAGGCTGAGACTCAAGAAATTCTCAATTAGTGCTTCGTAAAATGCTGCTGCACAATAATTCTGCCCTGTATCGATTGTATTCTTAAGCATATTTCCAATTGCCTAAATATGATTATGGATTAAACTAATCCTGTTCCGTTATCATAATTTGAAGGTGGTCTATACCATGCAAGCTTTGGAGGTGTGTAGGTTGCCTCATATTTTTTGCTGCTGGCTGCTTCTCTCCCTCTCTTGTAGGTGCTTTAATGTGGCTCATGAAAGCTGGGGAGGATTTCCTGATATGGTTGTTCTGAGGGACTTTTAATGTACACTACGGGCCAAAAGTTTGAAAGCAAGACCAAAACAGGCCAAACATTTGGAAACTACTTCAAGTGTCTGTTCACAATGCCTTTCATAAAAAAAAGGATAAGTTAAATGTATTTTGGGACGTATTTATTGCATGACTATACTTTGCTTTTACTGATATGCACCATTTTCCTCAATTTACCTTTAGGTATACATTGATGTTACCAGACCATTGCTGAATAAATGTCAACAAAAGAAAGGGAGGGCTTAGTTTTAGGTTCAAGAAGATTAGCAAGAGTCACAAATTTAGTGTAAAAGTAAAAAACAAATCACTTTGCATTATTCCCTTTTACTTATTGGCTTTTGAGTGTCTGCATCCAAAAATCCCAATAAATCTCACCTGTGTTCAAAACTCTGACAAACTATCGCAGAAATGGCTAGAAAGAAGCAACTGAGTAAAGAAACAAAAGTTCAGATTTGTACATTGAGGAAATAAGAATACACTGAAAGGGAAATTGCAAAACGCCTAAAGGTGTCCAACAAAGGAGTTCACTACACTCTGAAGAGACTTGAAGAAACTCGAAGTTATGATGATAGGAAACGGCCTGGAAGAAAGAGGGTCACTACAAAAGCAGAGGATAAACATATTATTGTCATCAGTAACAGAGATCGGCGAAAAACAGCACCACAAATAAAGGAGGAAATCAACATGACAAGGTCAAAACCCATATCTCTGACAACTGTGAAAGGATGTTTGAGAAAGGCTGGTCTGAAGGGTTGTGTGTCTGCGAGAAAACACTTCTTCATCCACAGATCAAGAAAAAAAATATATGAGTGGGCAAAAGCTCACAAAAATTGGACCTATGATGACTGGAAACAAGTTCTCTGGACGGACGAAAGCAAGTTTGAACTATTTGGTTCCAAACGCAGAGTCTATGTCCGCAGAAAAACTGGTGAACGTCTCAAAGCACCATGTGTAACACCCACAATAAAGCAAGGAGGTGATCCTGCCATGGTATGGGGATGTTTTGCAGGTGATGGACTAGGAGATTTGTTTGAAGTAAAGGGGATTATAAAGAAGGAACAGTACTACTCCATCCTCCAGCATCATGCAGTTCCATCTGGACTAAGACTTGTAGGTCCAAAGTTTGTTTTGCAACAAGATAATGATCCTAAGCATTCTTCCAAGCTCTGTCAGGGTTACCTAGACAAAAAAGAAGAGGAAGGTGTTCTTCAAAAGATGGTTTGGCCCCCTCAGTCTCCAGACTTCTCTCGAATTGAGCCTGTGTGGGAGGAATTGGATCGATCAATCACAAAAGGGCGTCTCACAAATCAGCAGTCTCTTACTGATAGACCTAAGAAAGCTTGGAATGCAATTCCTGCTACTTACCTTAAAAAAGTTGTGGAATGAATGCCTCGTATATGCCATGCTGTTGTTAAAGCCAGAGGAGGTTACTTTGAGGAAAGCAAAGTCTAAGCAAGAAAAACTCAAATACCTGATAATTAGAATAAAAATGTCTTCTGATAAGTTTTTCTTTAGATAATTATCTTTTTTTTTGTTGTTGTTGCAAAGTATTATGATCTTTTTTTGTACAAATTTGATCTTGCTTCCAAACTTTTGGCCTGTTGTGCATTTGTTTCTAATCATTTATTTGCTGCTGCTTTCCCTGCCTTGGCTTTCATGTAGCACATGAAACATAGGAGGGTTGCCTAGTATGGTTGTTTTGGGGGATTTAAATTTATGTATGTTTTATTTTATTTATTTGCTGCCTTGGCTTTTCCTGTACATGCATGAAAGGGAGGGGAGGGGCTCTCCCCTCTTATAGCCGTGGCTTTCCATGCAAGCACATGGAAGGGCAGGGAACTCTCAGAACAGAGCCATACATAGATTGCACGGCAATCTAGGTTCTTCCTGGGGTTCTTCCTGCCTCTGGCTTCCACGCAAGCAAGTGGAAGAGCAGATCAGGAAGGTTTATAGTTTTTGAGGATACGATCCCTCTGTTATTTCATGTCAGATCTCAGTTAAACAGTGGTGTGCTGTAATGAGCTGCTTTGACAGCTGTTGCTTGTTGAATACAGGTGTGTCTGTATGGATGAGAGGAGAAAGGTGTGTTAATGAGGGAGACTCTGGTGATGAAAGTTATACAGTTAATACGGATGTTTACATCAGATTGCTGCTCTATGTGTGTGTCTGTGTGTGTAACCTTGTGAAGGATCCTTGGTGTGTGAGCCTTTCTCCCTGTAGAGACTGATCATCACCAGTTGTTCAAAGCAGGATGCTTGTCCTGCTTGCTTGGTGGTTTAAGTGGCTGGGGAAACATAATAGACTACTTTCATGACACTTGCCACGCATCTTGCAGCTTCTTGATGAGGTGGGCTGTAATTTGGTCTATAGTCCAACTGCTTGGGACTCTGCCACATTGCCTTTGTACTAATAGCCAGTGAGTCGCCAACTAGGCGACTTCTAGATCTAGGCATCTATCTTCAGGTACTTATATATTGCCATTGTTTTTACCTGTTACACCTTGTCTGCAGTGTGTGGGGACCAAGGGTGCAATGATGGGTTGAAGTTGTTCAACCCATGGGGGGGGATGAGAAGGGGCTGCATGTATGTGGAGACCCCAGCATTGTGTAAACAAGCTGAGTCTCTCAAAGACCTGAAACAACATTGTGCAATCAGTAAGGACATGCTGGGACACCAGAATTGCAACTTCATGGGATGAAGTATATAAGTACAAAAGCATAACAATGGCAGAACTCTGCTCCAGCACTGTTGCAGAATGGCAGTGTGTAAGCTTTGTGTACCCCCCTGATCCAAAGGGTGACAGATAATGTCAGCCTATCTGAGGAATACCCCAGTATATGTTGCTCATGGAAAGAAGATGCTTATCTCAGTGGAACACAGGACAGTCTGATAAACTGAGCAGTAGAGGAGAGCTCAAGACAAAGTCTGCCTCCATCTCCACCATTGTGCTCCATCTGTCTCTGAAACTGCTTGTTTTGGCTTCCTTTTCCTCTGTGTTAACATCGCCTGTGTAGCCATCATCCTCTTCTGTGCTAGTCTCAAGAGCTTCAGCCCAACATATATTTGCAGAACTCTTTTTTGTCCTTGTTTTGGAACCAGACAAAGACTACAGTAATTCATGAGCACCATGAGACACATCAGTGGACTCATCCACAGCCAAGTCTCAACACGGTCCCTGATGAGCTGCTTCATATACACTCACCGGCCACTTTATTAGGTACACCTGTCCAACTGCTCGTTAACACTTAATTTCTAATCAGCCAATCACATGACGGCAACTTAGTGCATTTAGGCATGTAGACATGGTCAAGACAATCTCCTGCAGTTCAAACCGAGCATCAGTATGGGGAAGAAAGGTGATTTGAGTGACTTTGAACGTGGCATGGTTGTTGGTGCCAGAAGG